TTTGCTGTGTAATTCCCTAAATGTATCACTTGGGTATTTCTCTAGACATAATCTATTAAAATGGGAAATTGTCTGGTTAAATTTGTACTGTTTATGGAGTAAGACAATATTTGGTCATACTAGAAGCATTTTCAGTGTTATAATTGTCCATCTAAGAAAAAAAGAGGCCCACTTGAGGCTAAATTTAGATAGAATTTATACTCTCCTGTGTAAAGAATTGTTCACAATCTTGGCAATTCATGCAGCAAATATTTCAATAGTGCTTCATTTTGTAGTTTCTATCTTTTATTATATCAGGCATATATAATCTTTCATTTTCTACTGTTTGAAAGGACTTTTGTGGGAAATTAATACTCCCAAGGGACATAATTCAGCTTTTTCATAGATTAATACAGGCAACAAACGTAACTTCACAGCTGAGTATTTTGCATATTTAATGTTTTAAGTGCCTAATATCTTTGTTTTATCATCTCAAGACAGAATAATGGATTTTATAACAAGCTCTGAAATTTTGAACCACCATATGGCATATACTAAAGCATGGAATGGCGATTAGTATGAACAATCTTGAATTTGTGCTTATGTTGTAAATTTTGGATAAAATGAATACAAATTAAATGGAACCGTCATTTTTATCTGTTTAAATGGAACTGTTTATTATTCTTTTTAAATAAGATAAGATATGATTGGATACAGATTGTTTATTAAGCCTTATCTGAAAGAAGCAGAGAAAGAGGTAAACCAGCATGTAGGGGTGGGGACATAAAATGATCCATGTTTCTTTAAGTAATGGGGACATACAAGTATTTATTATAGCCAAGGTTTTCACAATAACCCAGTATTGCATTAATGGTGTCATAAGAATTCTTTATATCTTTATGTCACAGTATACTGAAGATAGCAAGGGAATTCAAAATCAATCAGACTTCAGTTATATTATACTATTTTGAAACTTTCGATTAGAACATTTGATTTTTATCACAAAGAATAGAAATATTTCCCTGAGAACAATACTGTGTTGAGAAAAGTGCTGAGTCATCATAATAAGTCAAATTGATGGGTACTGATATAAAACTTTATTCTAGGATTTCAATATTAACTATATTGTATAAAATGCACCAAACTATAGTTCTTTTGTATTTGTTTTCACCTTTCGCAATGATTAATTCAAATGGAAACACCAGAATTCAAGTCGCGACAAATATTTTTAACTGAAATATTTGCCTTTTTTTGCTGTGTAATTCCCTAAATGTATCACTTGGGTATTTCTCTAGACATAATCTATTAAAATGGGAAATTGTCTGGTTAAGTTTGTACTGTTTATGGAGTAAGACAATATTTGGTCATACTAGAAGCATTTTCAGTGTTATAATTGTCCATCTAAGAAAAAAAGAGGCCCACTTGAGGCTAAATTTAGATAGAATTTATACTCTCCTGTGTAAAGAATTGTTCACAATCTTGGCAATTCATGCAGCAAATATTTCAATAGTGCTTCATTTTGTAGTTTCTATCTTTTATTATATCAGGCATATATAATCTTTCATTTTCTACTGTTTGAAAGGACTTTTGTGGGAAATTAATACTCCCAAGGGACATAATTCAGCTTTTTCATAGATTAATACAGGCAACAAACGTAACTTCACAGCTGCGTATTTTGCATATTTAATGTTTTAAGTGTCTAATATCTTTGTTTTATCATCTCAAGACAGAATAATGGATTTTATAACAAGCTCTGAAATTTTGAACCACCATATGGCATATACTAAAGCATGGAATGGCGATTAGTATGAACAATCTTGAATTTGTGCTTATGTTGTAAATTTTGGATAAAATGAATACAAATTAAATGGAACCGTCATTTTTATCTGTTTAAATGGAACTGTTTATTATTCTTTTTAAATAAGATAAGATATGATTGGATACAGATTGTTTATTAAGCCTTATCTGAAAGAAGCAGAGAAAGAGGTAAACAAGCATGTAGGGGTGGGGACATAAAATGATCCATGTTTCTTTAAGTAATGGGGACATACAAGTATTTATTATAGCCAAGGTTTTCACAATAACCCAGTATTGTATTAATGGTGTCATAAGAATTCTTTATATCTTTATGTCACAGTATACTGAAGATAGCAAGGGAATTCAAAATCAATCAGACTTCAGTTATATTATACTATTTTGAAGCTTTTGATTAGAACATTTGATTTTTATCACAAAGAATAGAAATATTTCCCTGAGAACAATACTGTGTTGAGAAAAGTGCTGAGTCATCATAATAAGTCAAATTGATGGGTACTGATATAAAACTTTATTCTAGGATTTCAATATTAACTATATTGTATAAAATGCACCAAACTATAGTTCTTTTGTATTTGTTTTCACCTTTCGCAATGATTAATTCAATTGGAAACACCAGAATTCAAGTCGCGACAAATATTTTTAACTGAAATATTTGCCTTTTTTTGCTGTGTAATTCTCTTAATGTATCACTTGGGTATTTCTCTAGACATAATCTATTAAAATGGGAAATTGTCTGGTTAAGTTTGTACTGTTTATGGAGTAAGACAATATTTGGTCATACTAGAAGCATTTTCAGTGTTATAATTGTCCATCTAAGATAAAAAGAGGCCCACTTGAGGCTAAATTTAGATAGAATTTATACTCTCCTGTGTAAAGAATTGTTCACAATCTTGGCAATTCATGCAGCAAATATTTCAATGGTGCTTCATTTTGTAGTTTCTATCTTTTATTATATCAGGCATATATAATCTTTCATTTTCTACTGTTTGAAAGGACTTTTGTGGGAAATTAATACTCCCAAGGGACATAATTCAGCTTTTTCATAGATTAATACAGGCAACAAACGTAACTTCACAGCTGAGTATTTTGCATATTTAATGTTTTAAGTGTCTAATATCTTTGTTTTATCATCTCAAGACAGAATAATGGATTTTATAACAAGCTCTGAAATTTTGAACCACCATATGGCATATACTAAAGCATGGAATGGCGATTAGTATGAACAATCTTGAATTTGTGCTTATGTTGTAAATTTTGGATAAAATGAATACAAATTAAATGGAACCGTCATTTTTATCTGTTTAAATGGAACTGTTTATTATTCTTTTTAAACAAGATAAGATATGATTGGATACAGATTGTTTATTAAGCCTTATCTGAAAGAAGCAGAGAAAGAGGTAAACCAGCATGTAGGGGTGGGGACATAAAATGATCCATGTTTCTTTAAGTAATGGGGACATACAAGTATTTATTATAGCCAAGGTTTTCACAATAACCCAGTATTGCATTAATGGTGTCATAAGAATTCTTTATATCTTTATGTCACAGTATAGGGAAAACGGTACTATTACATTTTCCCAGCATTAGGTTGGCCTTTTGTGTACCCAAGGCAGGTGAAGGAAGTCAACTTGGGAGCGCTGTGATTGGATGTAAGGGTACAATATATTTTTTTATTTATCTATGAATAACTGCAGTATGTATATTTACAATATAAATTGTGAAACCTATTGAAATATTTTCTAGAGAATTATTCGAAAAGACTTCCAACATTTCATAAATTTGGCGTAAAAGGACGGTGGGCATGGATAACATAAACAAGCTCCGTTGGAAGTTGGTCATGATACTATTTGGCTTCAATTTTTAAAACAGAATAAAAAAGTACTAACACCACACATAACTGTTTTATCCAGGTTTTTATTATAAAAAGTGGTAAATTTTGAAAATGTTAGTATTGTCGGCTATGGCAGAATAAATAGTACCGTTTTCCCTTTTTTTCTCTTAGCCATCGTGTTGCATGTATAAACAATAACAGAAAGTAGATAGTCCATTTGCCAGAATTTGTGGGAAATTTTTAAACATTCCCATTCTATAGCACTTTTAATGAGACCAGTAAGTCGAGGAAAGATTTGAAATCAACAAAACATTCGAAAATGTATTACGTCACCAAGTAACCTTAACTAAAAGAGTACATTTCACTGCCAAAATCCTAAGAACAGTAACATTTGTGTAATAATAATTCAACCAGTCTTAATAACTCAATAACCGCATTATCCAGAAAATATATTTGTAATTGTAAAATCAAACACGAACAACTAAATCTAATGAGAGAAAAGAGTGTATGTGAAAAAAATCAAGAGAACAGACGATAAAACTTGGTACATTGAATAAAGAATTATTGATAAATCAACAGCAGACATATTTGAGAGCTGTATGTTAACTTTATTGTTTATATTGACTGCTATAATGGAATGTAGCCGAAACCGTTAATGAGGTTATTCGCTTTAACATCGAATCGGGGCTCTTTTGTGTTAACAATCTAACACGTTACTATTTCTAAATTCAGTTTCTTTCTACGCGGTCTAACTCGATACTACTCTGATAGTAACCTACATTTTACTTATTTTATCGAGAACATCAATACACAACATTTTACAAGATAAATTTTCAAAAATAGATTAAAATAGCTTAAATTCAAATCTTAAGATTAAATAACTGCAAATCAGTGCCCTCTTTTATTTTGAATAGAAAATGAAACATTAATAACACGGAAAAATATTGTCCAATATCATCATCCTTACTTCTACCCCTATATTACTATCATTGTGTATGAATCTGGAAATTTCAATAGTTTTTATTTCATGATCCCGTTCTTATCATTAATATAATTCAAGGTATTATTTTGTTTTTATTTTTACACAATTGAAAAATATATTGCTAATGTTAGTGATCGGGTTTCAAAATCGGGAATGGCGTTTTTATTATTTTTGAATTAATTTCCTTAATGATAATTTTCACATCTTAATTGGGCATATTTTCAAAAACTATTCCCGCATAAGCTGTATCTATGAAATTAAACACTTGTATTGGTTTAAGAAAGAAACCTTTGATAATAATTTCCGTGCGCTCTCTGGAATAACCTACAATGAGGTCATTTGCCGGTAATAAAACGAATTGTAATATTATTGTATAATCATTATATTGCAAGAGTATTGAACTCTCAATAGGCTCTCTTGGTGCTAACAACGAATACTCAACGAAATCACCGGGAGGATTAGTACAATGTATTAGAACATTGTTACAAGAAGGTTTGTAGTATTTTCTTTTTTCTTATATAGTGTAAATAACTGTTAGTTTCATCATTAGCGCTATGTAGATTACAGCTTTAAGTGATACCAGTGACAAAAAAGAAATAGCCAACTTGATCAATGAAAGGGGAAATGTTGTTACATATATGATATCAACAAGGTCACCAGTTAAAATTGTCGTTCGATTTGTCTACAACCTTTATATATGTTTGTGTGTGGTAATATCTCTATATCTGATCATTGTATATTACTTAAACATTGAACATTAATTCATTGAGTTGGTGCGATTTTCTTCATTTCGAATTTACATCTTCAACTGTTTCTGTTCTTATACATCCTTAGTTAACATTACTAAACCGACATTGAAATCTCGTTAGTCGATTAAGATTTAAAAAATAAATGAGAGAATTGCATGAACTCTTAAAGGAGCGAGGCAGGTTCCGTCGAAAGGATAAGCGTCTCCTGTTATATGCAAGCATCACCCGCAATGAGAATCACACTCAATCGAAATTTCACAATCCAAAATAAGACACAAAATTAAAGACGACCATTCAAAGTCGAAAATAAACTGACACCGCCATGACTAAAAATGAAAAAGACAAACAACAGTACACAAAACACAACATAGAAGACTAAAGAATGTCAAATGAACTTAGAACGAAAAAATATGTCGCTAGTAAATTGAGAGCATATTTTCAGTATGAGGCGCTTTCACATTTCATGCAAAATTAGCTGGGGGTCCATTCTTTTACATCCCAATAAAATTACCAAAAATGCGTTTAATTCTTAAATGAACTTTTGTACAAAAAAGAAATACACGGGTTTTCGTACAGCTGCATTAAACATTTAACAAAATGAACAAAAGTCCATTTAAAACAGGCGTAGTCTTTGAAATTACATCTTTTTTTACTAATATTTGCACATAAAGCACAAGTTAACAGAAAATGTGAATAAGTTCACACATGCACACAGAAGCACGACTCGATATTTTCATGTTTTGCAAAATATTTATGATTGCTTAACTTTGATGAACATTTAAACTTTCAAGACCAATGGAAAAAAATAACGATATTTTGAATTATTTGAGTAATTGATATTTTCAGTTGATACAAACTGAATGTAAATTGTTCTATATAAAACTTTAATTTCTTTCAAACATTTTGACTATATAAAGGTTTAACTACTTCCTTTTTAGCTCACCTGGCCCTATGGGCCAAGTGAACTTTTCTCGTCACTTGGCGTCCGTCGTCCGTCGTCGTCGTCTTCCGTTAACTTTTACAAAAATTTTCTACTCTGAAACTACTGGGCCAAATTTAACAAACTTGGCCACAATTATCATTGGGGTATCTAGTTAAAAAAATGTGTCCGATGACCCGGGCCAAAATAGAACACAGGGGTAAAATGTAGATTTTGGTTTATATCTTTGAAACTAAAGCATTTAGAGCAAATCTGAGATTGAATAAAATTGTTCATCAGGTTAAGATCTATCTGCCCTGAAATTTTCAGACAAATCGGACAACCCGTTGTTGGGTTGCTGCCCCTGAATTGGTAATTTTAAGAAAATTTTGCAGTTTTTGGTTATTATCTTGAATATTATTATAGATAGAGATAAACTGTAAACAGCAATAATGTACAGCAAAGTAAGATCTACAAATAAGTCAAATGACCAAAATGGTCAATTGACCCCTTAAGGAGTTATTGCCCTTAAGCTTTATAGTAAATTTTTAACATTTTTTTTGTAAATTTTTGTAATCTTTTACAAAAATCTTCTCTGAAACTACTGAGACAAATTAAACCAAACTTGGCCACAATCATCATTAGGGTATCTAGTTTTAAAAATGTGTCCGATGACCCCGCTCACTAACCAACATGGCCGACATGGCTAAAAATAGAACATAGGGGTAAAATGCAGATTTTGGCTTATATCTCTGAAACTAAAGTATTCAGAGAAAATCTGATAGAGTAAAAATGTTTATCAGGTTAAGATCTATCTGCCTTAAAAAATTTAAACAAATCAGACAACCCGTAGTTGGATTGCTGCCCCTGAATTTGTAATTTTAAGGAAATTTTGCAGTTTTTGGTTATTATCTTGCATATTATTATAGATAGAGATAAACTGTAAACAGCAATAATATTCAGCGATATAGATCTACAAATAAGTCAACATGACAAAAATGGTCAATTGACCCCTTAAAGAGTTATTGCCCTTTATAGTCAATTTTTAACAATTTTTTTTAAATTTTTTTGTAATCTTTTACAAAAATCTTCTCCTCTGAAACTACTTAGACAAATTTAACCAAACTTGGCCACAATCATCATTAGGGTATATAGTTTTAAAAATGTGTCCGATGACCCTGCCTACCAACCAACATGGCCGACATGGCTAAAATAGAACATAGGGGTAAAATGCAAGTTTTGTCTATTATTTTTTGAACCGTTATAAATAGACAAAATCTGAAAGGAGCAAAAATGTTGAGAATAATGATCTCTACCAATTGTCCATATACATTGTACGTCAAAACTGTTAGACAAATTCTTATAGGAGTTATTGCCCATAAATGACAAATTTTACCATTTTTTCATGAAAACTATGATAATTAGAGAGAAACATTTTTTTTCCGTTATGCCTTATATGATTTAAATTATAATAGATAAATAAACACTTTTAATCACAAAAATGTTCAGCAAGGCAATATCTATTAAAAAGTCAAATTTTGCCGATATAGTTAGTAGACTGTCACTCTTCATAGGAGTGATTGCCCTTAAATGAGGATTTTTTTTACCCTCTTTTGTGTTTTGAACAAAATTAAAGAAGATAGAGAGAAACTAAACAGACTAAAATATCACTAATACAAGATCAATAAAATAGAGATTTTTGTCATGAAGTCTATTCTCGTCTTCTATGTTGGAGAGTGTCCTTTGTTTGATATGTACATAGACCAAGGTGAGCGACACGGGCCTTTTAGAGCCTCTAGTTCTCTAAAGCAACATATCGTCGATCTACTATGCCGAATCAACCTATTTAATTTAATCTGTCAATGTTCTGAATATCAATTGAATACTAGTACTTGTCACTGGGATTTGGCAAACAACAATCAATAGATAACCAACCTCAGTCATATGTTTGAAAGTTTAGGACTACTGTTAATGGTATTAGGGTACTGATTAATATCAAGCTTTTGTCATGTTGCAAGATATAATTTTGAAAATATATATTAAAATAGCTTAAAATCAAATGTTTAGATGCAAATCAAAGCCCACTTTTATTTTAAATAGAAAATGAAATGTTTATAACACAGATGAATATCGAACATGAATGTAATATCATTATCCTAACTTCCAGTTCAATATTGCTGATCATTGTGTGTGGATCTGGAAATTTCAATAGTTTTTATTTCATAATCCCATTCTTATCATTTACATGATTGAAAGTACATTTTTTTTATTTCTATAAACAATTGAAAATATTTTTAAAATTCAAAATATGATCGGGTTTCGGGAAGTGTTTTTATTTAATTTCGGAATTAATTTCCGTTATGATAATTTTAAAATCTCAAAAGGGCATATTTTCAAAAACTATTTCCGCATGAGCTGTACTTTGAAATTAAACCTTGTTTAGAAAAAAGACATGTGATACTGATTTCCGTGGGCTCTCTGGAATAACCTAAAATGGGGTCGTTTGCTGGTGATAAAACGGATTAAAACCTTATATATATTTATACAGTATAATCATTATGTTGCAATTGCAAGAATACATACATGCGTTTTAAAAACAGTAATTTCAGCTACAAATAAAAATTACATTTAATGACTTAAAATAAATACAATTTAAACGCTACATTTTTGTATATAAAATGTGTATTTACATAAGCTACATGTATATTCTAAACATTAAATACTAACCTCCTCAGCTTATTGATTTATCGCTTCAGAACGCACAACTTCCGGAATGAACTTAACGTCGGTTATATCCCGTGGTTGGACCTCATGAAAACCAGGTATGATATGATATACTAGTAATTACATTTCACAATTTTAAATAATGAAAATCAAAAAATAGAAAATTACTAATTACATATGCATTCGTTTGAAAAATGCAGTAACCTTATAAATCAAGAAAAAGTGGATGGTTAAAAATGATGAGGGTCAATTTAAATTGTTTTCCTAACTTTGTACTGCATTTTAACACACAGTAACTTGTAGTCGGAAAGGAGACTCTAAAATTAACACATTTGTTTGGAGAGGTCCCTTCTATGTGCAAATTTTATAACATTTGAAACCAACAACTGAGAAATCCGTTGGTGGCATCTTGCAAAGCACAATATAGAAATAAGGAGATGAGGTATGATTGCCAATGAGACAACTATCCACCAAAGTGCAAATAAAGTGGATGTAAGCAATAAAAGGCAACCGTACGGCCCCTCTCTGCCCCTGTCCAACATTTTCTCTTTTTTTTAAGTGACAATTCAAATTTTTGGCACATCTTCCCAGTTGACTTACCTTGCAGAATAAACTACTGTAATGATCGTATGTTTTTTTCTCGTCCTGGATATGCATTAAATAATTGCACTGGACGTTAAGTGGTCAACAATCAATCATTCAATTTTACTTTTCGTAGATATAGTCATTACAACAGCGATAAAATTAATGCAAATACGTTAACGGCCCTGTACTTTCACATTCTGGATGATTCAGACGTCATGATGAATGTAATTTACGAGTACGGAAGTTGAATTTATAAATTGGTCTTTTCTGAATTTTATTGTCTTTCCTCAACCCAATGTTTTACTAGGGTAAAGAAATATGGTCAACACTGGACTTCATTCGTTCCAGCAGTAAATAAGTTTTTTTAATCAGTATTTTACGAAGAATATTGATGAAATAGTTTAATGCGTTTTTAAAGGATATTAGTATATATGTATACAACTTTGTAATATATTTTTACAGTGTCTCATAAGTCAATTTGTTTGGCTGGGTATTGATTATTTTAAATATTGAATATGTTCAATTGTATATCGTTCAACTGTTAATCAATACATGACACTTTAATAGAATAATTACGGGGACGTTAAATTTGATGCCCTGTGTATGTAAAGGAACCTTTGCAACAATTCTCTTATGTGACATATTTCAAGATAAAACAATTCTGCCTCTTTCCAACATACCCTTAATTTTTATGTTATTGATCGTTAATTTTCTCTCCTTTTTGTCTTTGTAATATTTGTCCTTTTTCCATGTGTGATTTTTTTTTATTGTTGATTGGAATCTTTGTATTTATTCTTTTAAAATTGTAAATTTGTTGTAAAAATAATAAACTTGTTGATTCAGTTCAATGTACTTTGATTAATAATATTGTTATTTTTTTCAGGAGATTGACATATGCCGAGATTTACTCAAAGTATATAGAAAATGAAATGTAACGGAACATAAGCCTTTTTATTTTTTTTTAATCATAAAGAGGTAAAAATTTTACTTTTGACGAATGAATAGAACGATCAATAGATAAGATAATTATCTCTGGAAAAAATGATGATGCAATTTGATTGTGTTTGGATTTCTCATTATCTTTGTTTGTGGTTACGTTGTTTTATCACCGCAAACTAATGAGTGCTGACACTATGTCAGTTCCATTATACAACTATTTATGTTGTATAATTGGACATGAAACAGATGTAAAAACAAGACGATTATGTTATACAATATCAGAGTATCTTTGTCCTACCAATGCAGTTATCCCTAGTGGTAGTAAGGCAGAAGGTCTCGATTTTAAGGGTAGTGATCATGACATAATGTGTCTGCTGAATTTTGTGCACGTATATGAACACCCAACAGATAGAATGTTAATTGACTCATTTGTCATATCTACAGAACATACTACACCAGGATATGTTCGTTTGTTATCAGATGGTTTTGTAACTCCTATTGTTCGCCAATGGTGTATAGGACAGGACAAAAACATGTTATTGTTATCAAGCGAACTTCTAAAACAGAATGTTTTATCTTCTTTCCCGGTTCAATTCTATATACATGGACCTTGTATAACGGATCAAAATGGAATGACTGATAGTGCTTTTTGCTTTAGGTGTGAATCTTGGATACAACAGGCACATCCATGGGTCCTGAGGAAACGTGCATGGCCTTCTCCAGAGTTGATTAATGAAATAGTTAGCGATGGTGTTTTGCTTGTGCCTATTGGCAGTAAAGATTCTCCTTACGAGGATACCGAATGGCGAGTTTCTTTCTCTGTTGCAGAGAAACGGCTCGTTTATTCATTTTCACACACACAACTGCTTTGTTACGCATTACTGAAAATCTTATTGAAAGAAGTGATTAATTTGCGCAAAAGTTGCAAAGATTTATTGTGCTCTTATTTCATGAAAACTGTAGTATTCTGGGTATCTGAAGAACTTCCTGTGCATTTTTGGAGACCAGAAAATTTGATTTCTTGTTTTAAGCAAGTAATGAAACGATTAATTTTCTTCATGAAATTTGAGTTTCTACCTAATTATTTTATAAGCGAGGGAAATATATTAAAAAACAGGTTTAATGTTGTCCAGTTATCAAACATTGTACACTTGTTAACTGAACTATATCATAGAGGGGTTTATTGTTTCTATCAGTCCAAAACAGTTTCAAGCTTTTTCCAAACTGACTGTGTCTATTGGAATTTTATAATATATTCTAAAGTAGATCAGATTAATAGCCAGCTAATACATCTGTTTTCAAATGGTTTCTGCAGAATTGATCAGTGTATTAATACTTTAGATAGGTTACTGAAATTGCTGATCTGGAAAAAACTAAAATCACACCGATTTCTATACTTAACATTATTATCAATGATATGTAAGCATATAAGTAAGCGGGGTACAGGCATGTGGGAATCAAAGAATAAAAACTATTACAAAAGGCATAAAAATTATTTGCCATATTTCATAATTGGATTACAGAGTGATGCGTTGTCTGGATGGCTTAATCTGGCCACATATTTTTATTGCATGAAACAATACTGGATGTCAATATGTTTAACAGGTTTTACATTGCGTAAATGTCATTTAAACGAAATATCATCGTTTAACTCTTTAAATGTTGATTTGAAATGTAAATTAAGTAATATAGAACATGAAGCAATACACAAGGATGTGATCAATGCTTTTCATGTTTGTAAACGACATTTCACAGATGATGTAATGCTTTTCGATTTTTCATACATTTTCCCATTGGAAATGGATACTGAAATTCGAATAAAAGGGATAGTTTCTAAACCACCAATCATGTATAGCATCTTTTTACGTTTCCTATGTTTACACCACCTTCATGAACATACCGATGTTACATATGCGTTACAAGATCTATATGACCTAAGGAACTATTCGACTACAGATTCTGACGTTGTTGATTGGAATACCATCATGGGACAAGCACACTATATACTTGGAAATTTCAGTACTGCAATTACCTACTTTACAACGGTTGTTGAATTGGAACAATTTCTCAATTCATTTACAGTTTGGAGACCATTACGACACACAACATTTGCAACATTCATGATAAATGATTTGAAACAGAAAATATAACGAAAGATTGAATTGAAAGTCTATGGCTTTTTATCTACACACCCTCAAACAGTATTTAACATTAAATCAAAGTGTCGTACATCAGTATGCTTTTTCTTAATGCTCCTCCCTCCTCAAAATGATTTAAAGACTGTCTTTGGGTGATTGTTCAACATTTTGTCAAACCTTTCTGCATCATGATGTCAATTATTGAGAATTATAAATGATAACCTCGTTAAATAATTTTGGTGACTTTCCAAATTCATTTTTAAATTATGCCAAAATAGTCTTTTATCGTTCCTGGCTCTTTTTTTTTCAGTTTCAAATTTAATTAGTTCTAAATGGTCTTAAAGACATTTATGTCAAATAATTACGAATTTATATGATAATGAGATATGTGGTATGATAATGAGATATGTGGTATGATAATGAGCTATGTGGTATGATAATGAGATATGTGGTATTGTTAATTAGACAGCAAACCAACTTTCCAAAAAACGAAATATAACAACCATAAACAGGTGTGTGGTTTATTGGCGAAGACTACATCAAAATTAAATCTGTAATAGCACCATGAAGCACAATGGACTACTCATGAACACATACCTGTTAATGAAGTCCATATGGTAAAAACATGTACCAGAGTAACCTATCAATTGAGATAGATGGGACAGAGGGTATTTTTTTGCTGAGAAATGGCATATTGACAATTGGAAATCTTAAATCATTGCGTAAACGTTTTGTTATAGTTTCTTCTTTAAAATCATTTATCTCTGTCAATATAAAGAATAAGATGAAGATATTAGGCAGACCGTCCATGTTGATTTCTTGATTGCCAACATATTTTGTTACGTTTGGAGGACGTGTTTTTTAACAAACAATCGGCATTCCCATGGGAACCAACTGTGCTCTTCTTCTTGCCGACTTGTTCCTTTATTCATATGAATCTGACTTCATACAGGAACTTCTTAGGAAGAAAGAAAAGAAGTTAGCAGTATCCTTTAACTTCACTTTCCGCTATAAAGATGATTTTCTCTAACTAGATAATTCAAAATTTGGTAACTGTATTGTGCACATCTCTACAATCGAACTTGAGATAAAGGATACAACAGATACAGTTGAGTCTGCCTCATATCTTCACTTACATCTCGTAATTGACAACGATGTTCTGTTAAAAACAAAACTTTACGACAAAAGAGATGATTTCAGCTTCCAAATTGTGAACTTTTCCATTTCTATGTAGCAACATTCCAGCAGCGCCTGCATACGGAGTTCCAAGTGGTGAAGTTGAAATCATCCCTTCGTAAATTTTACGGACGCCATGCATCACGAGTTGGTTGACCATTATGGAGTATCCGTTTCACAGATGACAACGGATATGTTCCAATTGTCGTAACTATAACCCCGTGACCTACCGAATTAGACTTATCACAGGGTTTTGCTACTAACATGAGCAACACAACAGGTGCCACATGTGGAGCAGGATCTGCTTACCCTTCCAGAGCACAAGAGATCACTCCCAGTTTTTGGTTAGGTTCGTGTTGCTCAGTCTTTGGCTTTCTATGTTGTGTTTTGTGTACTGTTGTTTTTCTGTTTGTCTTTTTCTTTTTTAGTCATGACATTGTCAGTTTATTTTCGATTTATGAGTTAATGTCCCTTTGGAATCCTTTGCCTCTCATTTTTCGCGATTCTCCAACCAAATATAAATTACCGCAGTTTTGAATTCGCGATATCCCGGTGTCCTACATAAGTATTTTATAACAAATGATTTGGAAAGTAAACAATTTTACATGTGTCGTAAATCAAGTGATGAAATAAATCAGAAACCCTTTTTGTCGGTTCATTAATGTGAAAGTAGTTTAAAGTTTTTAGTCATGTTTGGTCCAGGCCCCCTACATCCATTGAACACAGAATATGTGTGTTGTGCGAATCCAACAGCGTTGAAACAGAAAAACACTTTCTAATGGAATGCTCATTATATGACGATATACGATATAATCTCTTTAATGAATGCTCAAAACTAATTAAAGACTTTCAAGAGCTTGATATAAACAAAAAATTTTATGAATTAAGAATTGTCCCAATATTCAGAGTTATTTTTGCAAATGTTTACATAAATATTTTTTTTTTTTGCGTAGAAAATTATTTTTACAGTAATATTTTCCTATAATCAATTTTTAATGCTACAATTTATCAGATTTTTACCCAATCGTGATCATTTTATAATATTTCATTGTTGATATATATCTTTTTTAATCTTAGATTTATTTAATAGTATATTTTGGTATATATTTTGGTTTTAAGGATCAGTGTCTCATAAGTTATTTTTTGGCTGGATATTGATTGTTATTTGTGTGTATATAAATATTATGTGAATGTCTTGTTTCAATCAATATGTGACACTATAATAAACAAATTTTATTCTATTCTTTAATTCTTTGCTTTTAAAAACACATACACAATAAACAAAGAAGAATGACATATTAGACTAATATTAAGAATGAATCTAATGTTGTCAGGATTACTGCGAATTAAGTAATCGATCTTGATCTGATTAGTCTGTGAGGCAGATATAATGAGGTAATCATTGTAAAACTGATAGACAGCTGTTTACATATTTGAAACAATTGTTTATATAACAATATCTGTAATATCCGCATGCTTGGAATATAGTAATTTATTAAATCAAAAGATTTCAACCAAGGTTTCCGAAACGCAAAATCAGGTTTCTACGAAAAACACTTTTAATGACTTTTTATTGACGGAACCTATTTCGTTTGTTGAAACAGCTTATGTCATTGAAAAGGCAAAGAAAGGCAAATCTGCTGGATTTGATAATTTACCTGTTGAAGTTTTGCAAAATAATTGCTCAACTTTGTTTTTGTACCATCTATTTGATTTTTGCTTTAGGTTCCAAAAAACTCCAGATTTATGGAACAAAATTATTATCAATCCCATACCTAAAGCAAACATGACAGATCCGCGCGACCCCTTGTCTAACAGAGGAATTGCATTAGCTTGTGTTTCGTATAAGCTTTATTGTAATATTTTAAACGAAAGGCTAACGCAATGGGTAGATGATAATGACATATTAGTCGACGAACAAAATGGTTTCCGTCAAAATCGAAGCACTATAGATCAATTGTCTTCCCTTACAAACATAATTGATGTAAGGAAAAAGCTTCGTAAATCTACTTTTTGTGCGTTTATTGATTTTAAGAAGGCATATGATACCATAAATAGAAATATACTATGGTCCAAGTTGAATGTGATAGGTGTTGCAGAAAATTTTTGTGCTGCAATACAATCTATTTATTCAAATGTATTATGTTCAGTACGATTAAACGGCCATTTATCAGAATGGTTTAATGTCAACAGTGGTCTTAAACAAGGATGTCCATTATCACCTATGCTGTTTAATCTCTATATAAATGACCTAGTTTCGTTCTTGAAATCATATGAGTGTGGTATTGATATCAAAGATGAAAAAGTTTGTGTTTTACTTTATGCTGATGATGTAGTTATACTAGCAAACAATGAAAAAGAATTACAAACTCTGTTGAATGCATTTGATATATGGTGTGGAGATAATTGTATGACTATTAATTCCAAAAAGTGTAATATTGTGCATTTTAGAACAACTTCTGTTAATAAGTCACATGTTGTATTTAAATATGGGAATGATATCATTGAATATTCTACTACTTATACATATTTAGGTTTAGTTTTAAGTGAATTTTTAGATTATAATGTAACTGCTAAAGCTGTTGCAGCTTCTGCAAATAGAGCACTTGGCCTTGTTATAGCTAAGTGCAAAATCTTAGGTGGTGTTACTCATAGTGTCTTTTCAAAATTATATGAGAGTTTGGTGCTTCCAATTGTTGAATATGGTGCTGGTATTTGGGGTTCTTCTTTTATTAATGCCATACATAATAGAGCTTGTAGATTTTTTCTTGGAGTTGGTAAATATACTCCAAATGCTGCAGTTGCAGGGGATATGGGGTGGATACCTATCTTTCAAAAACAATGGCAATGCTTAATTCGACTATGGTGCCGTTTGAACAATATAAGTTCTAATCGGTTAAACAGAAAAGTTTTCATATGGGCAGACATTATGAGTAAAAAACATAAATGTATAAAAAATTGGAATTTTTATGTAAATGCAGAACAGTTGTGTATCATTACAGAATATGTTGATAGTACCTCAGTTGTGCATACTATTATGTCTAAAATGTTTAGTTTAAATGTTGAACAGTGGCAATGCAATTTACAGTCAGAGAAAGCTTTATCTGGTAAAGGTGGAAACAAACTTCGAACATATAATTTATTTAAGAACAGTTATGAAACAGAAACTTATTGTAAAATTCCAATGCCATTTTCGTAAAGGAGTTATTTTGCTAAATTTCGTTGTGGTGTAGCACCACTAAGAATCGAAACGGGGAGATTTAAAAAAATATTTTTAGAGGATCGAGTCTGTGATAATTGTAAGGATATTTTAGAAGATGAAGCCCATGTTATTTTATCGTGTCCTTTATATGACGATTTTAGAAAAAAATTATTTGATGAAGCAAAACATTTTAATAGTGATTTTATGTTTTTTGATGATAAACAGAAATTAGTGTTTTCATTTACAGATATTAATATGATTCGTAGCTGTGCCAAAGCCTGTTGTCTTATTTTAGATAGACGTAGAAATGTTTTATACTGTAAATAATGTTCTTATAACGTAAAATATGTTTTATAATTGACGAATTTTCTATAATGTTTTTGATGTTATAGTCTCTTATAATTCTGTACAGAATGGCTCTCTTTTTATATCTTTATATTTTTACACTAAACGTAATGTTGTATATTATATATAATTGAGAGATGAGACTTTAATAAAATATTGAATCGAATTGAATTGCTTGAGATGTAGAAGAAAATGGGGAGAACCAAAGCGTACCTCTACTTTTGAACACCTTTATTAATCTAGTATCAAGCATTTGATAAAAGATTGCAGTCGGTAGAGAAAGGCATTGACAAATTTGGTGACATAAAAAATATTATTACATCTCTGACAAGTCGAGTTATTACTACTGAGAAGGGCTTAAAATCATGCCAAGGTAAAATAACTGAACTTGAAAACAACATACAAGGAGTAGGACAT